GACACGGATAGAGCACCAAGTGATGGAAAATAGGCTCTCAACCACAGTTGACTGAACCAAAGAGGCCCACTGCCAGTGAAAGATGCACCATTCTTCAATTGAAATTGAAGAGAAGTCATGCCTCTATAGAGGGCAGCCAAAAAGAAAGAACACAAATTCAAAAGCCTACAACGTGCCAATTCGTGCGCTATGGGTAAATAGCTCATAGAAGGCTTTATATTAGGCACACGCAAAATATATTTATAAATTCAAATCTGAAGAAAGGTCACACGCTCAGTGTGGGAAGGCTCAGCATTTGAGTGATTATAATAGCCTTGCAGGCTTGAATAGGACTCGGTGAGTTTTTTGTCAAATTTTGGGGCAACACCGGAAATTAAAATACCAGGGAAAATGTTGTCGCCCAAAGGTGGAAGATTTATCAGGGCCCCAACATCCCTTAAAATAATGGACATGGGACCAAGAGGGAAAATAAAAGTATTATATTCAGAAGACTAAAAACTTAAAGCAATAGGAAAAAGTGTTGGGTCAAAGTGCGAATATCTTTTTCGCAAATCGGCCTCAGCGGCAAAGAGTTCAGGAATGGAGGACCTTGAGTACAAGGGAACAGCTAGCCCACTGCCACTTGTTCGACGGCTTCGGCATTGTTAAATGAAGGACCCAGATAGAACTCATTAAGTTCGGCATTGGCTGGTGCAAGAAAGTTCGGGTTTACCTATGGCCGAGTGAGGATTTTCTGAAAATCTTCAAAGCTAAAAGAGTCGTCATATTGGGTTTGTGGAGCAGCCATTGAGAACGAAATACAGTTTTGTTAAAGTTTGCTTGAGAAACGTAGCAAAGAAGCAAGAAGATGAACAGTGGTATGGCGAGAAAGAAGCGCAAAATAATGAGACGTAATTTAGTGGTACAATGAAATGGCGTGTCTTTGGGGTTTATAAAGGTTTGTAGCATCGCATTTTTTCAGGCTATGGAAGGAAATAATGATTGAAATTCTTGGAAATTTCAAATGTTGTTAGGAAACACAAAGTAAATATGGCAAATATTAATAATTGGTATTAATTCTGCCATATTGGGGAGTAATTGTTGACACACTAAAAGTGCAACCCAAATCAAATAACCCAAGGAATAAAGCCCAACTGGACAATTCAGGATAAAGGCCCAGATAGGGTTATTAATGAATGTAGTGGAAGCCCACGAACACGGTAACATCATCGTCCAAGCCTGCAAGACGCCCAAGATCTGAGCGAATGAAGTGCCTTACAGTCGTCCAGAGCTATGACCATGTTCTCGCCCAAACCTACGAATCACCCAAGATCTTAGCAAACATAAGATGTTATGGTTATCCAGAAGTGCAGTTATTGAAGCAATTATTGAGTAACTTTATCACGTTCCACGATTCAAGGAGTTCAGTTGAAGACGGTTGAACAACAAAGAGTAGTGACAGCAGTTAGAGACGGCAGTTCCACGATAAGTTAGCCACCATAAAGAAAGTGAGTAGTTACAAAGCAATCAAGCAGTTTCTAAACGGTTGATCATGAAGAAATCATCAAGGGAATATAAAAGTAAGAGAAGACATAGAGAAAAAGATCCCGAATCAACACTCTCAAACAGAAAATATGTAATTTCAATTTTTTAGTTTAGACTTAAACATTTCTTTTCTATACTCATGTGTTTGCGCCCCTTGCAGGCATTCTGTTTAGTTTCAATTGTAAAGTCATTGCCAATAAAATATCCCTTTTTGGGACTTTGTCTCAAGAGGTTTGTTCCTTACACAATCGTCTGATTTTCTTTTTAATTGTTAACGACTACTCGTGCGAAACATGTACATACAATATAGTATTAAGTTGTCTTCTTTAATACAAGTAATTTCAATTTTTATTCTTACATCCCAAAATATACATAAACCGAGGTTAATGAAATTTTTATTGAATAAACACCCACTCCTACTCAATATTTTAAAGTAATGAATTTTAATTATAAATAATTATCAATTGTTCACATTAATCAAATTAATATATGCTTTAATTATTACGAAGTTTGCTTTTAGAAAAATTTATTTTAAATTAAATTAATCAAGAAATTTTTAAATAATTATCAGTTGTTCATATTAATTAAGGCCCTGTCTGGCTGTGATTTTAAGCTGAATTTGGACCGTTGCTGATCAAAAATTGCACCGTTGAACAATTTTTTAATGGAAATATTCTGACATCTTTGCAGTACAACAACAGGCCATTTACTCTCATTTTTCCAATATTACCCCCGTCATTACACACTCTCAACTGCCAAGATTCTCTCCCCCTTTTCCTTGCACCAGCACCTCACATTTCGCATATTTCTCTCCCTACAAACACCCGACGACGAACTTCCAGATCTAGTCGTAAATATTTTTTTCCTTCAATTAGCGCTCTGATAGCACAAAGAAGGAATTTTTTCCCCATCAAATCCTATTGTCTGAGAGTTTTTTTCCCCGTCAAATACGGACTCATGTTAGGCGGTAGACGACGATGAACCTGCTTGCCGGAATACAGCTTGTGAGCTCACAACATGGACCCATATGTCCCCTCAGTAAGTGTTTTCAATTCCAAATTTTTTGTTGCACCTACAGAACACACAATTTTGAACTGAACCCAACTTATTTAACGAACTCGTTTTATCCGTTTCTTGTCGCAGACAGGTGGAAACGTAAATTCGTCACCCTCCAACCCTTTTCCCAGCATGACCCAACCAGTACCACCAACGCGCAAGCACGCCCAATGGAATCCACATGAGAACCGGATTTTCATTGCCGCGTGCGAGACGGTGATAGCCAACGGTCACCGTAACGGAAAGTGCTTCACGAAACACGGATGGGACCAACTCATCCGTTTGTTCAATTCGAACTCCAGTCACCGTTGGACGAAGCAGCAGCTGAAGAATCATTGGGATGGTCTTCGAATGAAGCACAAACGTCTGATGGAGCTTATTCACAGTACTGGAGTGGAGTACATCTCCAAAACGGGATATATTGCTGCTTCCGACGACTGGTGGGAGAGAAAGATGAAGGTACACTGCTTAATATGGTCATTTTTTGCATTTTACAAATTGAATTGCTTTCAAACTGGGAAACTCGTGCAATGTCCTGCTATTGATTTTCTATTCACTATGGACCCTCCCCAGTCAGCATCTTCATAGTTCTCAGGATCCTGATATTCATTCTTTTTGCATAGACTTGCCAAGGGATTTTCTTAAATTGTTAGGTTCAATGATTGGAATTTAATCATGAAAATAGTGCGAAAAAAGTAAAAATGTTAGATCTTGAAGAAGGAGACATGCTATGCTGTCCTTATGCGTGTTTGGCCCTCGTAAATATTGTCGTCTGTGTTCAATATATATCAGTAACCCAGATCCAAGACTTTGGAGTAATTAGGTGAGTTTCACTAGAAATGTTGTGTAATTAGGCTGTGTTTACAGTCAGAAATCCTAAATATATTGGCCCCATACGGGATAAATAACACATTCAAGAGGGAAAAAAAGAGAATCGATTGCCTCATAAGGTCAGGAAAATAGCCAGTTTTATTCTTAAGATTCCGGCTGTATACACATGGGATGACGTTTCTTTATTATAAATCACCAACTTCTTGGGAAATCTGTCTAGAAGCTTAAATGACCATCTCATCTAAAAACATGAAAAAATATTGATTTGTCTCCTCAAACTTGTAATTTCAATTTCAAGTGACTATTGAATGGCTTTGAGGCATGGGGCTCTGTTTCTTCCAACACTCAAGGTGACTTACTGACTATTACTTTCGATATGCACAACACAGTTTATTTTTCAAATTTTGACTACACAAGTTTCTATGCTATGTTGAAACCATTGCTGTTTTGAAGCATTCTGATGTTCAACTTCTTCTGCATGTGTAACAAGAAAATAAGGACTACAAAGAATTCAAAGGCAAAGACTGCAGGGAGGTGTACAGCCTCAAGGTGCGATTCAGGGATGCATATGACAACGATAAGTATGTAGTCACACCCTCAACAATGTGTGGGACAGGCTTCTCCATGTTCGAAGATAGTGGACTCGAGGACCTATGCGACAGTCAACCGCTTGACAAGGAAGGCACCGGGTCAAGTGATGAGAGCGAGAAAACAGAATTGGCTGGATCCAATGCAGACATGTCAATGCCGCAAAGTGGGGATAAACGTAGGTCTGGCGGCAATAGCAAAAAAGGTAAGAGAGCAAAAATGTCCGCCTCGGATGTATAGGACGCTGTTAACCGTGCTTCCACTGCCAGTGAAAAGGTAGCAGCTACAATCAACAATTTGCTGGGTCCTAATGTTCCAGACGCGCAGATGCTCATGAACGAGATGTTGTCGACTGGCCGACTGCACAAGAAAACTGATATGTACTTCTGGACGTTGAGCTTCCTGTCACTGAGGCGTAATAGGGAGATACTTGCAATGCAGGAAGACGCGAACGACAAACTGGACTGGGTCGAGTGGAGCTGGCTGGAGCACAGAAAGGCTCATCCGAAGTGAAATCTGCGGCACAGAAAATTTTCCCCTTACAGCAGTTTTATGTAGACATTTTTAATTGTGTGTTGTTTTTTCATTTTCATTTTGGCATGTCTATGTGAACAAAAATGGGACTTTACTACTAAGTGATCTCACGAATCCACAACTGCAATGAAATATTTCATGTCACTTTCAAAAGATTATGTACATGTTGCCATTGCATGCCAATTACTATACGTGCCTGAACATTAACTCATTCCAAGGGTCCTATTCAAACAATGACCCACAGTTGGTACACTGGCCATCAATTGAGTCAAGAATCTTTTTTTTTTCATGAGCTTTTCTTCCTGCCAATGTCCATTTTAATTTGTACTAATGACAGTAATCTGTGGAGCAACGTCTATTAAAGAGAAAGTGCAAACAATCCCTTCCATTCTCACAAAAACTTGAACTTCCAAGGAACGTAGCTTGGGTTTTTTTTTCAGTGCTTCTTTTGCAATTACTAAGTGAAAATGGCGAATTTCAATTTCAACTGTGTGCTTCTGCCGTCCTCTGAATGTGAAGATGAGATCGGGGAGGAGGAACTTCTGCAAGAGCTCGAAGAGGACATCATCGAGTGGTTTCGCTACTGCAGAATGTCCTCTATAGATGTGGCAACTTACTATCGCGAACAGAGACGTCGAATTAGAAGATTTCCCTTCGCAAGGAATGGACACATGTTTATGCTAGACGCCATGCAATGTAATCCCGAACAGTGTTATGCAGAATTCAAGATATATCCTGCCATGCTGCGTACGTTCACTCATATACTCCGTGACGAATATGGACTGCGTAGTGGCCAGCAAGTTGATGTGTATAAACAAGTTGGAATGTTTTTATGCATATTAGCCCATGGGAAGGGCTACAGACAGGTTCGAACTTTGTTCAATCATTCTTTGCAAACTATTGGGCACTATTTCAAAATTGTGCTTGATGCCGCATGCGAATTTGCTATAAGCCTCATCAGACCTGATCCAAACTATAATCACGGTGCGGAGCATCACGTACCAAATTTGAACCAGCATCCGCTATTCGAGAATTGCATAGGTGCAATTGACGGAACGCACGTGCAAGCTATCTTGCCGCGGGACGAACGAGTAAATTTCATCGGACGCAAGGGCATTCCAACACAAAATGTTCTGGCAGCATGTGATTTTAATTTATGTTTCACATTTGTGCATGTAGGGCGGACGGGAACAACGCATGATTCACGCATGTTGGCTCGGTCTATATATGGTCCTGAAATTGATTTTCCCCATCCTGCCCCGGGAAAATTTTATCTTGTCGACTTAGGATTCGCCCATAGACCTGGGTACATGGCTCCATACAAGGGTTCTGATATACTGTATCATTTTCAGCAGTTCTACAACGGTGAGACGGGTCGTAGACGAAACTTTCGCAACGCACGTGAGAGATTTAATTTTAGGCATTCGTCGTGCAGAAACGTTATCGAGCGTGCCTTTGGTGTGTGGAAAATTTCGGTGGAAAATACTCGATCGTATGCCCAGTTATAATTTCAAAATGCAAACTGCTGTTGTCTTAGCCACGATGGGTATACACAACTTCCTTCGACGGGCAGGAGTTGTCGATAAAGCGTTCACAAGGGTGGAGACAGATCCGGACGCGGCAGAGGTAGAACTTCCAAATGAACAGGAGCAAGCCGCTGCTGAATTGAATGCTCCAGAAACGCAACGAAATGAATGGGATCATGTCCGCGACTTTTTGGCTCAAAGTCAGTGAACGTGTATTCATATGTGGTTGAAAAGTAGTTTTGAAAAATAAAATGGTTAAAAAAGTGGTTTGGAAAAATGTGAAAAATAAATTTATGGTGAATTTTGCTCGAATTATGGTGAATTTTGGTATTTAACTTGCTCGAAATATGGTGAATTTTGCATCAACTGTTTGAATTGGCAAACTACAAAATTATTTATTAGACAATGCATTTTGGAACCACGTTCAAGCATGACAAGTTACGATAATACAAGGACATTAAAGTTAAACAAATTGATAAACAAACATGTTAAATCGTACACAAATTTTGGCAAATTTTTGTGCAATATCTTAAGGATACGATTTAAATCGTGTAAAAAAAATTTGTGCAATACCCTTAAGAAAAAAGGAAAAAATTGATCTCATACTTAAAAAAAATAATAATAATAAAAAATAAAAAAATAAAAAAAAATAAAGACAAGAACTTGTGTTGCCTCTGTGTCACAGAGACGTGTTTTGCCCTTTATTTAATTTTTTTTTTGTTTTCACGTTATTTTTTTTAAAGTATCATATTTTCTTTATTTTTTTTCTTGGTCGTCTGAATTCATGCCTCCCTTTCATATCAATTTTGTTTTTCATCGATATACATAATTTTCATATTTCTAACGTTGTAAATACAAGTTTTTCGAACCAATGGAAAAAAATATATAACTCCTTTTTTTCTTCTTCGTCGTCCGAATTCATGCCTCCCTTTCTTACTGTTACTTTTTCTTCTCGATCAATTAATTTTTTAAATAATCTAATAAAAATTTTGACGTCATTTAGAAAATTTCCTAATAAATTTAAATTTTTTTTATCTAGAAACATCATTAAAAAAATTAAGAATTTCGATAACAAGCTAACTTTAAAAATTTATCGACGATTGTACGATAGTCAAATACATAGATCTTTTATATTCTCTCGAAGTTCATTTCGAGATCTATATTATAGACATATCGAATGATCTAAATTTTTTTCCTCCTTATTTATATTTTTTTTTTAAGTATGAGATCAATTTTTTCCTTTTTTTCTTAAGGGTATTGCACAAATTTTTTTACACGATTTAAATCGTAAAGATATTGCACAAAAATTAGTAAATGGGGAGGGGAAGAGAGCGGTTCTGTTGTGCATTATTGATTTGTTTTAATTTTTGTCATGTTTTTTTTGCTTTTGGTCAAATTATGGTCTCTTTTTTTTCTTTTTTTTTTTGCTTTTAGTCAAATTAAGTAGGCCCATGCACCACATTGTTGTGGTTGGGAATTGAGTGGATGTCATAATGACTGCAAAATTCTCGATCAATTTACATGACAAAATGAGGAAAGATAAATAATGAACTACAGGATAAAATGGTCACTTTGGCAAATTTTTACAAGGCCATGCACGTTGTTGCCTGACAGTGGGCCATTGTGATGTGACTGGAAAATTAATTCTTGTGGAGTAATAATCTCTACCAGACGGGCCCTAAATTAATATACAGTTTAATTATTACAATATTTTCATCCGTAAAATATTTAATCTAAATCAAATTAATAAAAAATCGGTGTACAGTGATATGCATCCTAGTCATACTATCACGAGCGACGTATATATATATATATATATATATATATATATGATATCTAAAACAATAATACTTTTTAAAATAATTTATAACATCCATAAAATGATAAATTGACAATTATTTATGGCTCTAAAATGCCTCAAAAATTAAATTAAAAACTAATTGGACATAAGCTCAATATTTAATCTAAATCTTCAACTTAAAAATCTTCAAGAATCCAAGAGCAATTGAAATTTGTCACAATCCTAGTAAAAATTAGTGTCCAAAATTTAACTTGTCAAGATCCTACCCGACCCGACCCGCAAAGTGAATTCAGACCCAAGGTCAATCGGGATCTACTAGAAAACCTATGACGTGAATATGTGCAAACAGTGAAGCAGCAAGCTACTATAGGCAACAACTGTGCCTGGTTGCATCAAGCAGCACACAGCTGCTGCTGCCCAAGGAGTTTGCTACCTTTGCATGTTGTCGGCAGTAGCTGTTTTTCGCTTTTTTGTTCATTCTTTGACCTTCATTGTCGAGTCTTCAATCTTCAATTAATTTACAAGATTCAAGAATGACCAGAAATAATAATTTCATGAATCTATGTCTTGTAAGCACAAAATTTTGAATCTAGTTGAAAAGAAAATTAAACCAAGATAATGGAATCATAACCCACCTATCTTGTTACAAACTTGAAATAACAAATTACATCAAGAAGTAGCCACAAATAGTTGAATCAAGTTTTAAAATAAACCAATTATCAATCAACATATAATAAATTATTCGTAAACATTGCTTGAGTAGAACATACTATCAAAATTCAGAAATAACAAGTATGTGAACGATCTAACTTGGTTCTAGTACCCCTTTTTGAAATGCAAAAATAGCATTACCCAGACATCAGAGATTTTTTTTAATTCAATAAACAAGATCGTCTAGATATTCACCTATAAGTTATATCAAAAATAGAGGATTCGAATCTTTACCTAAATTCATTTGTTAATTCTTGAATACATTCTAAATCGCGAACTTCTAACATTTTAATTCCAAAAACTTGATGCTCAAAACTTCCAAATCTTCTATGACATTCTCCAAAGTCAAATATATACAAGTGGGTATGCACTTTCTTTTAATTAAATCAAAAAACTAATTCTTGAATCAGACAATTGAATAAAAGAAAGAAAGAAAGTTCTCTCTTTTTCTCTCCCCAAATTTAAATACTATGGAATTTTTGTATTATTGTTATTCTAAGATTTCTATATCCATCTAGTCTCTATTTATAGAGATAAAGATGTCCGAGTCCATGTACAAAAATGATTACAATTTCCAGTATGACTCTAAATTAAAATCCAAATAGGAGTTTTAATTAAAGTGTACATCCAATTAGTTTAAATTTAATTGCATGCGTAGTCCTAAAACTTCAATTACAATTATAATTAAAAGTTTACAATTTTATACTAATTACAACCAAGTACAAAACTTTATTGTAATTACAATTAAGCTCAAAAATATTAGATTACATTTAATTAATATTCTCTGCTTCACTAATTCTCATGCTCCGAACTCATAGATATATTCTATCAATCAAATTGATCTCACTCATTAATAAATCAAAGAACCATTAAAATTACAAAAAGATACATAACTCTGTCAAAGGATTTAAATGAAATACACAGTAATCAAACATAATTTAATTATCCGCACGATCATGTTATAGAATTAAATTTGATATGTGGTCCGTTCAATATATTACAAGTGTCCTAGTTCACCTTTAACTACTTCTATGATAAGAACAGGTTAAAAACTTGAATAGTGAATCGGTCAATACTATAAATTTCCAATACAAGGTGCCAACCTGTATATATTGGTTGTAAACAAATTATTTATGATCAATGTATAAATTATGTCACGCTGTACTCCTTATCGCAATTATCTAACTTACATAATCATAAGTGATTATAGACACTTTAATTTGCATGCTCAATAATAAATAAATGCAATAAATAAAATAAATGTTTATTTATGATAAATTATTATTTTATCATAGCAAAATATACTATATGAACACACAATCCAACAACTCATCACAATGTTAAATTTTGGGTAATTAGCACAAAACGTCCTTACCTTTCATGAATTTTGTGGAAAACGTCCATACCTTTCGTTTTTGGCGCATTTCATCCTTACATTTACATTTTCTTGTGCAAAACATCATTTTCATCATTTTTCTCAATAAAAAGTTATAAAATGACTAATATACCCTTCTATTTAAATAAAAAAATAAAGAACTAAATGCAATTGTAGTTCCAAATAAAAAAATTCTCCATCTCCACCTCCTCTTTTGAATTTTTTTAAAAATTGGAACTATAATTGCAATTAGTTCTGTATTTTTTTTATTTAAATAGAAGGGTATATTAGTCATTTTATAACTTTTTATTGAAAAAAATGATGAAAATGATGTTTTCCACAAGAAAAGATAAAGATAGGGATGAAATGCGCCAAAAAACGAAAGATAGGGATATTTTCCACAAAAATCATAAAAGATAGGGACATTTAACATTTTGTGCTAATTACCCTTAAATTTTTCTCTTCAAATTCAAATTCAAATTCAAATTGAATATATAAAGCAAGTTTATGTCACTACAAATTTAAATGGGTGGCAAGTGACATCCAACGGGATAATGAATTGCCAATGCCGCCCCTTCTGCCTCAATTAAAGTCTCTTTCCTCTAATCATCATGTCTCCGAGCATACTATAACTGCATCTGGCTTGGATAATTGATCCAGTCACTGCAAAATCAACATAATTTATGTTGTCCTTCCATCCATTTGCCTCCGTAACACATGGATACATCTTTTATTGCTGTAAAAAGGTTAGTACAGATCAATGAATAAGTCGAGAAAAATTGTCTAAAAAATGAATAAACAGATTATCGAGCACAAGAACACACAACGGCGTATGTTGAAAGACATTGAATCGCCACAGCTTATATACCGATACAGAAACAGAAAGTCTACATGACCAACACAAATAGGAGTCACGCATCAAACCAAACGAAGGAACTTATACACGAATCAGCAGAGGCCAATAAACCAACCTATTTTATATTCAGACATATGCTAAGAATACAGCCTCACTTAATTCGTTTCTAGAAACACAAATTCCATCGCGTTATGAAGACAATACAACCAAAATCATTTCCCACACACGGCGCCATAGATTGATGGGAATATATTCATAAGTCACAATACATACTCCATAATCCGGAAAATTTTGGTTGTTTGAGTAAAATTGGTCAAGTTTCATTTTCAATCACATATTTCAATGAATATATAAGCACTATTCATTTATTCATCACTCATTTTAAGCGATTTATTAAATTGTTTATAAATTCTTTCCAAATGGAGCTAATAATTGATTCGTAAATGTTACCTTCACAGTGGCATTAGGTCACGGTTCTTAATACCAAGGTTCAATGATTTTTTTCCCAATGAATCTACAATATATTTTATTGTGAATGTGTGATTAAAAATGAATATCGAATTTTCAAATAATGGCCATCAAATAGAAGCAATGAACAAATTTTCATCTCAAAAGGCAAGAAATACATATTTTGTATAAAGCTGAACATAGGTTAATAAGAATTTGTGAAATAAATCCTTTCTCATTATTGGTGGTGAAGTGTTTAATCGATTTTAATTTATCTTTGAGTAATAATATTTAGTATTATTGGTATTAAACACCAATCTAGATGACAACTGCATGATATTATACAATAAATTCATTTTAAATGCAATGTCACACAGCATTATTCTTTTATCTTTTTCATACTATCAATTTGTTGCTTTGTTTTGTTTCTAGTGTTAAAGATATGGAAAATATTGTTGAGAATAATATCTATTATATTTTTCCTTTTAGTGTAGGATTATTTTCTTTGGTAATTGATTATGTAATTATTACACAATCTCACGTTATTTCCTTTTACAATTATTTGTAACCCTATAAATAGGGTCTTCTACTTTGTAATACACGAGTTTAATAAATGCAATTTATAATATTTTGACATGGTATCAGAGTGTCTGCCACTAGGACGTGGACCTTGCTGCCCTTGCTGAACCAGAGGCAGAAAGACATTTGGCATGAGAGGCCCAGCAGGCCTCATACCAGGAACAAGTTGCTGTTGATACCCAAATCCAGGTTGTGGAGGAATCATGGCAGGTGGAGGTTGCCCATAGAATATATGTTGCCCTAGACCAGGACCACCAGGGGCATACATTGGCATACGAGGAGCGACTGTAGGTGCCATAGTAATCGGTCGTACTTGAGAAAATTGAGCCTGTAACCGTGCTCTTCTATCTTCTTTCCTTTGAGCAAGGGCAACATAAAGAGGTTTGCTAACAATAATCTTGCCATTCATTTCTAAGAGAGCTCTAGAAGCCTCTTCAGGTGATAAGAATGCAACAAAACCAGATCCTCTGCTTATTCCTTTTGGATCCCGCATCACCTTGCATGATGTTATCGATCCAAATGGAGAGAACGCTTCCTTAAGCTCATCATCTCCAATGCTATCATCCAGATTTTTGACATATAGGTTGGACCACTGTGATTTATCAACTGCTTCCTTCACACTCTGCTCAAATTGGAATTTCAATTCTAGCTCCCTCTCAGATTTCTTTTGGGCCCTTCCAACAAACCATTCCTTGTTATCAAATTTCTTACCATTAAGCAACTCAACAGATCTAGCAGCATCCTCTGCATTCTCAAAGTTTACAAATCCGAAACAGTTTGACTTTCCATCTTCATTTCTCATCACAGCAACACTGGTGAGTAATCCATATTCACCAAATATCTTCCTCAGGTCTTCTTCAGTTGTTTCTTCAGACATGTTCTTCACAAACACAATCGTAAATTTTATCTTGTCTACTGACATCTCTCTTTCTTGCTTTCGAACAAAAGGTCCTACATAAACTTGTTTTCCATTCAAAAGTGTGAGAAAAAGGTGCAGGGAGTCAGGCGCCATGGCGCTCAAATTGAGAAAAAGGACCAGTCATGCGGGCGCCATGGCACCCAAGGCTCTGCACGAAACTTGGCGCCATGACGCCCGATTCAATTCTATATATAGCTGGTGTTTTCCCCTTCATTAAACACCCGATTTTTAGAGAGAAAAGTGAGAGAGCTTGGATTGAATTTAACAAGTAAGAGGTTGTTCTTCTTGGGTATAAATTCAAAGCTATTTTCTTTTCTTGTGGATTAACTTGAGGCTTGTTCAAGTAATCCAATCCATTGTTCTTCATATATTCCATTGAAATCATTTCTTCCTTATTTTCTTGTTCTTGAAATGGTTTGGAAATTTTCACATTGTCAAGCTTAATTTCTTGGGCAATCTTGGGAGGTTATTTTCCCAACAATTTGGTATCAGAGCTTCTTCCTTAATCAAGGTGGTTAAGGTTCAATTTTGTGGTGAGTTGCTTGAACTTTGTTGTGCACAAGATGTTTGTGAAAATTTCCAAGTGAACTTTTGTGGTTTATTTTCGGTAAACAAGTGAATAAATCATGTCTACTAGAGGAATGGTGAAGATTGGGAAGTATGAGATAGAGAAATTCAATGGGAAGAATGATTTTTCATATTGGAGAATGCAAATGAAAAATTTGTTGATTTCTCAAAAGTTGCACAAGGCATTAGCGGGAAAGCAGAAGAAGCACATTAATATGTCGGACGAGGATTGGGAAGAGCTAGATCTTGAGGCACGAGCATCTATCATTCTTTGCCTTGAAAGAGATGTTGCTTTCTTGGTTGATAGTGAGGTAACGACGGCGGAGGTGTGGACAAAGTTGGAGGCAAACTTCATGACGAAGACTCTGACAAAAATCGGATCTATTTGAAGTCCAAATTGTATACTTGCAAGATGGATGAAGGTACACCAATCCGGGAGTACGTCAACAAGTTTGATAGGATCATATCGGATTTGAAGGACATTGATGTGGAAGTTGATGATGAGGATCAAGCACTTCTACTACTTCTTTCATTGCCAAAGTCTTACGAGAACCTAGTACAAACATTGATGCTAGTGGGTGATAAACTCGTGATGGAGGACACTAGAACGTCACTTCTAGCAGATGATCTTCGAAAGATTGCAACTAGTGGCATGTCTACCATTGGTAACAAGGAGCAAGCTCAAGGATTATTTGTAAGGAGTAGAAGTAATGTGCGACCAAAGGGTAAGGTAGAAAAATCTAGATCGAGTTCTAGACCTCTTGCGGAAAGGTCTTGTTTCAAATGCGGTGAGCTTGGGCATTTCAAGGCGAATTATCCTAACAAAAAGGGTTGGAAGAAGAACAATAAGAACAACAACAACGGGAAGGTGCAAGTCAAGCAAGAGGTAAGCTATGCCTCGGAAGGAGGGGAAAGCGATGAGTGCTACACCATCTCTTGTGATGAAGAAACCTCCGATAAGTGGATTCTTGACTCTGGATGCTCTTACCATATGTGTCCAAATAGGAAGTGGTTTACTACCTATAGAAGCATTGATGGTGGAACCGTGTTGATGGGTAATAACCATTCTTGTAAAACGGTGGGGCTCGGTTCAATTAGAATCAAGATGCATGATGGAGTGGTTAGAATATTAATGGATGTTAGACATGTTCCTGATTTGCACAAGAACCTTATCTCTGTTGGTGCCTTAGACTCCGGTGGTTGCAAGATTGTAACATGGAATGGAGTAAAGAAGGTTGTTCGTGGTTCTTTGATTGTGATGAAGGGTATTCGTGAAGGCAATCTCTATACTCTTCAGGGTACTACAGTTACTGAAGATGTAGCAGTTGGAACAAGTGAAAGTGGTGGAGACCCATGTGAGTGCACTCGGCTATGGCATAGGAGGCTTGGGCATATGTCTGAAAAGGGGCTAGATTTGATAGTCAAGAAAGGTTTGCTAAAGAACTTGAAGAAGCCTTGCATGGATTTTTGTGAGCATTGCGTGTACGGTAAAGCACACCGAGTTCAGTTCCAGCCAAGCAAACATAGAAGTAGAGGCATTCTTGACTATGTGCACACGGATGTATGGGGTCCGGCTTCTGTCACTTCCAAAGGCGGTTCCAGGTATTTTGTTACATTTGTTGATGATTATTCTAGATATGCTTGGATTTATTTTTTGAAGCATAAGAATGAGGTATTCGACACTTTCAAGAAGTGGAAATTGAAGACACTGTGATCTGATAACAGTACTGAGTATACAGATGAAGCTTTCAAGGAGTTCTGTGGTAAAGAAGGCATTGTGAGATACTGGACAGTTAGAAATACACCGCAACAGAATGGGGTCGCGGAAAGACTGAATCGCACATTTCGAGAGAAATCAATGTGTATGCGATCCTATGCTGGTTTGGGCAGAGAATGGTGGGCAGAGTCAGTTGCAAATGCTTGCTACATTGTGAACCGGTCTCCACATTCAAGGTTAGATGGAGATATACCTTACAGGGTATTCACAGAAGAACATGCAGATTATGAGAAACTCAAAACATTCGGATGCACAGCCTACTATCATGTCAACGAAGGAAAGCTCGATGCGAGGGCCAAGAAGGCTATATTCTTGGGGTATGTGGCAGGTGTTAAAGGCTATCGCTTTTGGTGTGTAGAGGATTCTAAGTTCATAATCAGCAGAGATGTTACTTTTAATGAGAACTCCATGATAGCTTCGTTGAAAGCTACAGTGCCCGATGGTGATGATGTTGAGACTACAACGTCTCAAGTTGTTGACATAGAACCTAGAGATCAACCTGATTCTAGGTATGTTCAAGAAGAGCATCAAACAGACACTCAAGATGAGAGTGATGATGGGCTTGAACAAGAGGCGATTCAGCAAGAGAATGTACAGGCACAGTAACAACAGCAGCTTGCAGATAACTTGGTTTCCTCTAGGCCACGCCGTATTTACAAACAAGTTTTAAAGTTGGGGTCAGACGAGCCTCTGAGGCACTATGGGCAGACAAATTTTGTTGAGTATGCACTCTCGGTGGAGGATGATGAGCCTACCACTTTCAAGGAAGCTATTTTAAACAACAATAGCGAGAGTTGGTTGGCGGCAATGGAAGAAAAGATGGAATCACTTCACAAGAACCAAACATGGGAGGTTGTCCCATTGCCCATAGGTAAGAAAGCTATTGGTTGCAAGTGGTTGTATAAAAAGAAGGAGGACCCTACCAAGCTCGGTGGTACAAGATTCAAAGCAAGGTTAGTGGCCAAGGGGTTTGCACAAAGAGAGGGAGTTGACTACAATGAGATTTTTTCTCCGGTGGTCAAGCACACTTCCATTCGGGTGCTATTGAGTATTGTTGTTCATCATGATCTTGAGCTGGAACAACTCGATGTCAAAACTGTCTTCTTGCACGGGGACTTGGATGAGGAGATCTATATGCATCAACCTGAGGGCTACAAGGTTGAGGATAAGGAACGTCAGGTATGTCGCTTGAGAAAATCACTATATGGATTGAAGCAATCTCCTTGGCAGTGGTACAAGCGATTTGACTCCTTCATGCTAAAGCATGGTTTCTCCAGAAGTGAGTATGACTGTTGTGTTTATATTCGAAAACTTCAGGAAGGTAACTATATCTATCTTCTTCTGTATGTGGATGACATGCTTATCGCTTCGAAAAGCAAGGTGGAGATAGATAAGTTGAAATCTCAACTTGGTAAAGAGTTTGAGATGAAGGATATGGGGGCTGCTAGGAAAATACTGGGTATGGAGATTAGAAGAGAGAGGATGAACCGGCGAATGTTCTTGAGTCAGAAAGGCTACATTGAGCGGGTTATTGCTAGGTTCGGGTTGTAAGGTGCAAAGTCGGTGGTTACTCCATTGGCTCCACATTTCAGGCTCTCTGGTAAACAGTCTCCTACTACAGCGGAAGAAAAGGTACGCATGGATCGTGTGCCTTATGCTAGTGCAGTTGGCAGTTTAATGTATGCCATGGTGTGTACACGCCCAGATATTTCACAGGCGGTTAGTGTGGTCAGTAGATTCATGGCGAATCCGGGAAAGGCATACTGGGAAGCTGTGAAGTGGATCCAGAGGTACTTAAAAGGTACAGCAGATACTGGTTTATGTTTTGGTGGAGTTGCATGTCATATAAGTGGGTTTGTGGACTCGGATTATACAGGTGACCTAGATAGACGACGATCTACTACTGGATATGTGTTTTGCATACATGGTGCCCCAGTTAGTTGGCGATCGATGTTACAGGCTACAGTTGCTCTTTCTACTACAGAGGCTGAGTATATGGCCATGGCAGAGGGAGTGAAGGAAGCATTGTGGTTATGGGGTCTTCTAGATGATTTGGGGATTGAGCAAAATTGTGTGGACTTGTGGTGTGATAGCCAGAGTGTGATTCACTTGGCTAAGAATCAGGTTCATCATGCTCGAACCAAGCATATCGACGTCAGGTATCATTTTGTGCGTGATGTCATAGAGGAAGGGGATATTTCACTCTCGAAGGTACACACAAATGAGAACCCAACTGACATGTTAACCAAAGTGGTAACGAGTAGCAAGTTTCAACATTGCTTGGACTTGCTTCACATTAGTCCGTGTTGATATGCCCGAGAGGGCATGGCCCTTTAGGGCGGGGTTGAAATGAGGTGGAGAGTATATGAAGGTGGAGGTAAACTACAGAGGCTTGATCCCGAGTTTTGGGTATGTAGGCAACCATGGTTTGAATGGTGCAGCCGAGTTTGGCGCTTGCTGCTTCTTCTTGTGTTCGTCCAAAATTTGAGGTCTATCAAATGATGTACGAGGTGGAGAATTGTGAGAAAGAGGTGCAGGGAGTCAGGCGCCATGGCGCCCAAATTGAGAAAAAGGACTAGTGATGCGGGCGCCATGGCGCCCAAGGCTCTGCACGAAACTTGGCGCCATGGTGCCACTCATGGGCGCCATGGCGCCCGATTCAATTCTATATATAGCTGGTGTTTTTCATTTCATTAAACACCCAATTTTTAGAGAGAAAAGTGAGAGAGCTTGGATTGAATTTAACAAG